AGTTAGGAGCAGACTGGACTAGATAAGGTTACGTCAATTCGTATCCTGATGCAGAGCAGTACAGGACCTTGGCATTGAATGTGATTTGCTCTCCCGCTCGTACAACCGGTTTTATCTTAATCAAATGAACGCATTTCCTGGATAAATCCCCACGATGTCAGGGTTAACATAAATTGATTACTCTGTACAACAATTATACGTAACCAAGGACTTGGCGAGTTGATTTCTAAAGATCCATAATCAATTAAATGGAAATATTTCAGATCAGTTCCTTCATTTTCTTTCAATGTTAGTTGAGGATATTTTTCCAGCGAATGTTATGCAAAAATAGTTTACTATTAATTGTTTCATTTATTTCATAAAAATATAGAAATTTCGCTACAGTGCGTAACACAACGTCGTTGTTAACAGCATTTGTTCCGAGTTTACTTAAGGCCATAGTAAATTTACTTGCCCTGTATTCCCCAAGAGTGTAAACAATGTTTAATTTCAAATAATTTACTTAATTATTGAAGTGAAACTTATTAAGCTGTTATTCAATAATTCGACCAGAATTGAGATTAACTCTCATTGCAACTCTCATACGTGTTATATATCTTTGTGTAACAAATGAAGCAGAAAAAACGCACTGTAAATTTAAACCAAAACATCATATTAACAAATTCCATATCGGTTACGTACATTACTGTAGGTACTTTTAATTTTTTTATGTAAACGAAACAGGACTTTTGACACTGTATATAAATTTATAAATCTCTTGAAGTAAAGGAAATATCTAATGAAATGTACACCAATCCAGATCGAAAGTAATTTGTCTGTTATGAGGGACAACAGTTTTACAACGCGGTGCTATTCACGTATGAACAAGAGGGGCTGTGCATTGTGTTGTCGTTAGGTTTTGCGTTGCCAACCATTGTTCCTTCGATGGCCACAATGGCTTTTGATGAACATGTTACGTTGTTGATTTTATTAATGGGGATCTAACATGCTATTTCTGGAGTTTTCTTTATTGCAGCCTATTTTAATTTTAACTCGACGACCATGATTGGTTACAAATTCCGACAATTGAAAACAATAGCCTTTTACGTCTTATCGCATCGCTCGTGTTCATCTGCTAATTAAAAAATGCAATTGGAAGTGAGAACAAACAATTGATTTGTTACGTTCGAAAAACGATATTGTTAAAATGCGACAATAAATATAGTACCTACAGCGCCATTGATTTATTATCGGGTTAATGGAGATATAATCATTGCAATTATTGTTTGTTTTACCCAAAAAAGGGATAACTAAAAAACGATACGGTTCAAGGCAAATAGACAATCTCCAACCGCTGCTATGATTCGATCGGCATCTGTGTCTAATCGCGTCATCAAGCAATTGAAACGGAAGCCACTATAGAGCGGAATTATCGCTTGCAACTCGGAAATTATGCTAATGGTCGTGGCTCCCGTGATGTTGAATGTGTTAAGTATATGGGCAATGAATCTAGTAGGAGGATTTGACTAAGCGTAGAGTATCTTCATTGGATTTCCTCTATCGTTACATACCGACAATTTTAAAGTTAATCGCATTAAATCATTTAGAATGAAAAATACTGATTCATTCTGGGAACACCTAATAAATACTTTTGTCTTCTATTAAGGGTTAAAGGTTAATTGTACGAAAATTACATTTCTTCCCTTCCTGTATTACGAAAGAGTAACTTGGAGTCCTTGTTCTATCAGCAGCTTCAAACCCTTGTAATACAAATTTTATCGCATTCAATTTTGATTTCGAGTTTTTTTTATGTGAGAAGGCGACAAACGAGCTGGCGGTTCACCTGATGTTAATTAATAACAGATTTTGCAATTGCAGATGCGTTGACCTTATGATAAAGTGGGCCCCAGTTAACTCACTCACCAGTCGTGGCCCTACCATAGTCCTCGACGTTTGAAAGCTTTACCTACAACATCTCAACTGGTCAAGGGATCCACTGAGATGTTTTCCGTGCAAATATTAACGTGGGCTTATTTTCGGCAACTTTTTCATTAATTAATTTGACATCTCTGCGCTGTATATTTATCAGTAGGGTCCCAATAAAGGTTTCGGTTCTTATAATTAAATTTTGCATTCTATTATAACATGGTAGATATAATAGAATATACAAGAGGTTCTTCGGAAACATCATTTTCAGCGCTCACGAATGAATCCGTTTAATTTATTTGAAGAACACGATTTTTGCAAATAAGAACTGAATGAATAATTCACGGAAAATCTCGTCGTCGGATTTAGTGGGGTAGTTCCAGTGAATGTTTAATAAGCTTCCGAGGCTTCTGCGAATTTTTAATGTGCTTCTAATTACCATTTGCGGCCTATATTAAGGCCATCCTCGTGAATCTACTCTCTTGTCGTTAATGTCCAAACAGTTCTTTTTTGGTTCAACAACTTGAGACTTTAATTTTTCAATCTATTTTTTTATAAACTCTAACAAATAGTAAATTTTAGAATGTCATGATTATGTATGATAAAAACACGGTAATTGAAAATATGGCCTAGGGGTTATGATTTCATAAGAAAGTTTTAAAAATATAAGGTAAATAGTATCGTGAACACTACCTGTTTATTACACTTACAGTTAAAAATATGAAGTCTGTCTATAAAATTTTCTGTTAAAAATCCGGTTAATAATGACAATAAAATTAGTCACACAATCTTTTCGTACTTTTTCTACAAATTTAAAAGTAAAAATTCTATATTTTTATAATACTACTAAGAGCCGTGATAGCTCAGTGTCCGGGCGCTCGCCTTTAATTCAATATACTCGAGCAACCCGACTTCGATCCCCGGTGCCGGCACCAATGAAGTTTTTAACTTTAAGTGCTGACTTATCACGTGCTCCGCGGTGAAGGAAAACATCGTGAGGAAACCTGCATAGTTTCGAAATAATAACAAAAAAAAATATATTTCGAAGATATGTGAAGTCCGCCAATCCGCAGTGGGGCAGCGTGGTGGACTATGCCCTGATACCCTCTGTAAAGAGGAGGCCTTTGCCCAGCAGTGGGACATGTATAGGTTGTTACTTTACTTTTTTTTATAATACTACTAATAATTATGTTCACATAATAGAACTAAAACTAAAAACCTTAAAAAATATATAATGACTAAAATATTATTATTAAAAGGTTTAAGCAAGGTTCGGAAGATACTTGCAGCGTTCTCCCTTTGAATAGCTATTCTTTGTCCGAGGTAGCTGTCAGCTCTTCGATCTCCTGTGACGTCGACTAACTTTTTTGCTATTTCCTTAAAAAGCCTTATTGCGCTAGGACCCCACGGACCAAGGGTCCTATTTTACATTGTGCATTTGTGAACATAAATAAATGTAATATTTGAAATATTTTTAAAATTTTGAGTTATTGAAATGTTTTTGTCACCACGTAACGAGTGACAAATCTGCACTTAATAAAAAGTTTTTTAACAAAAAAAGAATCGGCTTCAAAGAATCTATTTGCACTAAAATGTTTAAATAATACTAAATCTAATATAATCAAATCTTGAAAATCTAACTTGTATTACCTAATCTATAGCAAAATTAAACAATTTTTGTAGTCGCTGCAAAGGCAAGTATCTCTGATTTGAGCAACAAATCATTCCCTTAACTTTGTTACCCAATTTAAGTGGACTAGATACATAATTAAATACATCTAATCTTTTAACCTATCTTTTACCCTATTTATCTATATATTTTATTAGCAAGGTGTTATGGTGTATAATCATTACTCATGGTAAACAATTGCACCGAAAAAAAAAGTTCTATTGTAGATAAGGAAAAGTTTGAAATAATATTTATAAAATGCAATAAGGTGTAGGTACGAGATAAGAGCGGCAATAGCAAACAATGCAGGTATTTGTGTAACCAGTGTTACCTTTAAGTCTGAATATTGACTATGATTTATATAATTAAGTAATCAATGCTGTTCAAAGACTTTGTGAATATTGATTCAAATACATAATATTTAAAAGTATTGAAGATATTTCTGGTTATGATCTCCATCAATAAATATCTAACTTTTATCACCTCAATGTCCTCTGAATTACAGTAGAGCTGTGTGGATAAGTCATTAAATACATGTGTAATTTACATATAATACAATTAATAAGGGAGAATTGTAGCATTTGGTGAATCTGCTGTTGAAGATATTTAAAGTAGACGAGTTCCAGACGTTGTCGTAATTGAGTAGGTTACTGGCAACATAGTTGCAAAAACTGTTTTATTGCAAGCGTGATAGCTGCGAGTTTCATTTTAACTGCTTCTCGTAAGAGTTTGCACATCGGATGTGCTGTAGAATAAATATTTTACGTTTGCAACTGTGGGGCTAACCAATCCCACATTGTTATAAAGGATTTCGGTTATTTGTAATTCTCGATTGGTGTAAATAACATTGGTTTTTTGCTTTATTTAGTCGCGAATATTACCACTGTACATAGTGATTACTGTCTTTTACCTGGTAAGAAATATTTAATTTATGCTAAGGTTCTATGAACAAGTCAACTGTGAAAGGACCGACTACTGTCGTTATAAGGCGCTGACGTCACCAAATGCTGAGAAATACTTACAACTTACAACATTAAAAAGTTGCCCAAGCAGCTATATCTCTTATGTCGCATTAATGAACCTACTGGTAGATTCGCAGTTAGGATAATGATGTATACGGGTAATTTACCTATTTTTCGCAAGAATATCTGTATTAAAATGATCTTTTAATAGCGCTACATTCTATGTAGAATAAATTTTGTACACATTATTATACTTTTTAGTCCAAATGTGTTTTGACCTAACTATTGCCGCTGACGTTAGGTACAGATATGTTTTAAATACCTGCCAACCATGCCTATACAGTTTTTATACCATGTAATTCGTTGGTAGTAATTTTATTAATGTGGACTAATTTAACAAGGCGATTGATTTCATACGAAATTCGTCAACTTTTTTTTTATGATACAGAGTAAATAGTACGCACCTGAAACTGCTACACGGATGAATGACCCAATGTCCCGCCGCCTTCTGTCTGATCCGCTCCTTCATCAACGCCTTTTTCGAGCCGAAGAGTTTCATCGCGAGCTTGTTGTCGGTTGGCTGGAACAGTGCTTGCAACTGGTTGCGCAGGAAGCCCTGCTTGGCGTCTGGGGCTGGGGGTGCGGGCTCCACAGGCGTCCCGTATAATGACACATCGTCCAGACCACCGAAGTGGACCTTGCCGGTGCCGCTGCCCTGCTTTAGCGACATATCGGCGTCGCCTGAAAAGAAGTTACGAGATAAATTCAAATTACAGATGACTTAACTTAGGCTCGTGCCCTTTTTGGACTTAGGGAAAGTTATCTACTGCGGATGTGCGCTTTGTAACTAATATATTATTTAACGACTTAACTGTATTTCCAACACCACTAGAGCTATGTATTTTTGCGACTACGTTTAGTATATTCTCGGAAAGTTGGTTCAAAATGATCCACTTGAGTATTATATACGATACGTCGGCGTATGGAAATAGTGGATGACAGAGTTCATCCTGATGCTCACTCATCCTAGATCTGGTGGGTGGAGCATTACGTGTTCTTTGAGATCCAATATTAAGGTTAATTATTTATTTACTCTTTGATGAATGCACCTGCATTTCATGCTTAGTGGCAGTCTGTGCAGACTTAACAGGTTGATGATGATGATGAAAATAAAAACTTAAGATATTGTAAATTTGTAATTAGACGGTTATAAATATCACGATTTATGCGACATTTTATGATTAATTTTCATTTTTAGTGCTTTTCTTTGCACTCAAGTTGAAACAATAAATTGCGAATTATTGTAGAAAAATTAACAAAAACTTTCGGCGCTGCGGTTTTGCACACAGACGCTTTACAAGTTAAGCTAACCGGCCGATGACCTCACGTTACAAATGTTCATTGTTGAAATAAAAATAATAAAACTCAGAAACGAAAAAAATTAAATGAATTCAAAACGTGATAAATAAAAAACAAACAACTATTATTGTATTATGGTAACTATTATTTTTTGTTCAGCTTATAAACACTCGAAACATTATTTAACATCTATAAATGCTATAAATATATGCATAAATTATTTCTTAGCAGTTATTCTCAATACGCATAAAACGTGATTTAAGGAAGTAAAGTGAAGAAAATAAAAAGTGCAAGGTCGATACCGTTGAGCGTTGCTAACAGACACAATGTCGCCAGAAATAAACAATATAATATAATATAAAACGTGAACTGAATGTAGTCAAATATCATTTCAAGATTGTTTAGCTGTCTGAATATGTTTTCTAAAGTTTAATTTCGTATAACTCTAAACAACGGTCCCATATTTGCAATTTTTGCGGAAGTACATTATTACTGCCAAAAATAACTACTAAGATTACTTTTGACCGTTTTCGTCTTTAAACAATAAGTTCCAGTACTTATTATACTGGAAAGTTTAAGAGAATGCGTGTTAATCCACCGACAATAATATGGATGTACTCTTTGAATAAGTGTCATAATGGACGTTCGCGCAGACATCTCGGGCATGTTCATTACAGCTGATAAAACAGACGATTAAACAATGAACCAATGGCACTTCATTGATTCAAGTGGCGTCAAATAGTGTAACTCTAGATCGCCAATCAACTCAATCCATTCTTTGCATGTAGTCCCAACAGAATGAAAAGAATGAACGGCTTTTATCCTGTGAATACTTCAGCGATTACGCTTTGTCCGACCAAAGCATACTCGCTAAAATATACTTAATGGTCAGTTAATAAAACATAATGAAAAAAACAGTTGCTCAATCACGGTTTAAACATAAAAGCAAATATATTTAAAGCATCATGTTTCTCAGTCTTTATGTTCTGACTCTCAAGTAAGGAAAGTTTATTATCAATTCAGCCAGTTGAAGAATTAACGGAAAGAAATTTATCAATCAAGTAGTTTATATTGAAATATGTCATATTGCCAATAAAGCAAGAATTTGTCTGTCTTTAAATTATATTTTAACAAAAGTGTAGTGATCATGGTCACACATTTATCTATTTTTTAATACATTAAAGTAATAATTTACTTATTTATACTTTTATTTATGGAATCCCAGATCGTGGGTCCGGAATAGATAGTTAAAATCGTGATTAGTAATGACAAAGTCATTCTGGGAAATTATTTACTGAGCTGGGTTTTAATGCATTATTTTTTAACCTTGGAATCGGCAGCTAGCGATGATGTCACTGAAATGATTATATGGCATATATGATAGATTATTATGAAGTTCATGAAGAATGAACATCAATTTTAAGGATATGTTAAAGTAAGCAGAAATTTATGGTCGCCCTTAAATGGAAGACACAATAATTATTTATAAGGAATAAATTTATGACAAATTAACTACTGCTTCATCGAAATTATTGAATCTATTACATTTATGTGTGAACGGTAAGTAGTACCATTGCCACTTGAAAAGAGGACCTTGTAAAGCGTCTAGCGTTTAAACAAATAGTTTTAGAAACTTTTACTTGAATACGTATACACAAACAATCAGACAATCAATTTGATATAAACGTAAGTTAAACGAGCAACTTTAATACAGCCCAAAAGCAAACGTAAGGAATATGATCAAGACATACGTAAGTGTATGTGGTAAGTAAAAGTGGTCATGCAGTTTTTGAGGTTATGATGATTCAGTTTCCTCGTTACGACAATATGTTGTTGACACTTACCCTTTGGTATTTTTGGAGGTAACGTAATAATATATCCCAGAAAGCTGTTATTACTCGTCAGTTATGGGCAGGTACAGTTAGAAGCCTCGGGGGACCCCATGCAGTTCCGAGTTGCGCACATCACATTTAGCATATGCAATAACGAAACAAAAGCGCATTAACGAACAACACTACACACTTTACGTAATGTTTTTTTTGTTTTATTTAAGTATATCTTCTTATTCATTCCAATGACTTTGGTCGGTGCAACTGAAACGATATTTTGAGTCAAATATTTTTTTTAATCATATTTTTCAACAATTTTAGTTTGGTTTTAGTTATCTGTGTGGTCGATTAATGTATTGCCCATTTATGCAAACCGAAGCATGTAGCTCGTGTCATGCTTCTCGCCGCTCATTTTGTAGATTATGGAACTTTTAGTGGCCGATTTAATTAAATGTATAATTAGACGGCGCGCTGTAACTGGATTTCGCTTGAATAACACCAGATACAGACAAGCGAATAATAACATTTAGACCTTTTTATATAATGTTAGTTTTATACGGATTGAAATGCTTGTCAATTTATGAAAGCGTTTAGATTTGTCGTTCATTTTAAATACACACGTTCCATGGTTCTTAAAGTTTTTTAACGAAAATTATTTTAGTTTTTTGTTATTTTAGAAACGATACAAATGTCGAACTTAAAATAAGCTTGTGCTTGTGTTTTCTGATACTTGACAGGAATGTTTTAAAAATATGCTTATTAAAATATTCTTTTTACAGACAAATATTCTTTTCAGATCGTTATATTGAAACGTAATTTACAAAACAAATCACGTTTGACACAAATAGCAGGCGTAGTCAAAACAAAACTAAAATAGATACGGACTGTAGGTATCCCTAGGTTATCATAAAGTTTACCCCCCTAGTTAAGGTGCAATTTGACAGCGGTAAGTGCAAATTGTATCTGAGAATAGAACTGAAGACGTCCCCGGCAATTACCGGCCAATTGAGACAAAAGGATAATGTTTGGCCGCCGTGTCAAGGTCGACGCGCTTTATTTGTTCAATTGAAAATGAAAAAAAAAAATAACATTACTTATTCGTTAATTGCTATATAAATTTAATCTATAATTTTTATAGATTGAAAATATATACGCATACAATAATGCCATAATTTCTTTATAACAAATAGTTAACCTTCAGTTAAGCTTCACTCACATTCACTTTTTTGTGTTGTTCTTTTTGTATTTGTATGGTATTATATTATTAATTGAATAGTATTGTATTTAAAATTAAATGAATGGTAATTCTGCTAGTATGAATAGTGAAGTTTTCAGATTTAATGACGACTCATAACACAGGCTAAAAGGTTTTATAACAAACACAGGACATGCAAACCCTCATTTTTTTGATGGACAACTTTATCATGTGGTTTTTCTAAAAAGGGTCTTTAAAAATGTCGCAGCGAATATTTTAAAATTTTGTTTTATTTTAATTAAATTGTTTTAAACTGAGTAAGGAAGCCGTAAAAACAGTTGTAGAATTACTTCCGACTTAAGGACATCGAAAGGTCACTATGCAGAAATAATACTAAGTATTTATTGCGATTGAAATTTTTAACACATAGTAAGTTGTGCGCTATTTAGAGTTAGAAGTATTTAAACCTCTTCGAGTTTTATCCACCCTGACCCAAATTAACATTTTATTATTGTTGATACAAAATAAAGCATTTTAAATATTAACTTTATTTTATTAGATAATCTTGTATTTATTCTATTGCATTTTATAAATTAAATTGATGTGTAATTATTGAACAATTGATTGTTTATCTTTCTTAAAATTGTATTGATTTTTTTTGCATTTTTTGTACAGCGAATGTCTCAGATTTATTAATGTATCAATAAGCTCGTGCGGTAAGTGTGCGTACTTACTCTAATAAATGAATAAACAAAGAATATATTTTTGTTAGCAAAATGCTTCAATGAGAATGTTTTCAGAAAAGAATTATGACGGCGTATATAATATTCTAATCACAAAAACACATTACATAATTAACTTCGTCTGAATTATTTTACACTCATGCCCGGTTTCTGATACACTGATCATCGTAGAAGTTAACTAATCAGCTGTCAAATGGCTTGTCAAATGTTATTTTAGTTAACATATAGACTGTTAAACTTTTGATTCTGATCATTAAGAAGATCATTCTGATCAATTCAATGAATTTAACAATCCTTTTAGCAGCTCAAATAAAATTTGAAAAGCCATTTGACATCTGAATAGTTAACTTCTAAGATGATCAGTGTTTCAGAAACCGGGCGTCAGTCCGTTAAAATTGTTTGCAGACGAGTGTATCAAAATAAGGACAATGTTTATAAAATAAAGGCTATTATTGGTGACAGATAGTGGTACGGACTCTGTTACATGTCATCAAAATATGCGAAATTGATACATGGCTGATTAAGCCCTTCCTAGATGATTCCATTACATTGCCGTACGCAATGAAGAAATTGTACCGTAAAACGTAATGTTCACCAACTTCTCGATGTTCTAATTATTTTGTAGTATGCACTCCACATGTTGTGTTATATTTACTTGAAAATATTTTTCAATTAAAGCAGTTTAAAGAAAACAAGTTTAGCTCCGTTTGAGCTCCAAGGGTTAAAAAATTTTCTAAAACCGTAATATATAAACATCATAGTTAAAAAAATGTATTGAAAATTTTATAAATTTATTTAACTATGTATATATTTATTTATGAAACTAATTCAAGTATGCCGTACATAAAATTAAAGTCTTCGTTCATAATTTTTCCTTGATGTCATATATTCCCCAAATGTTTTTAAAACGAGCAACTCGCAGTTTTGAACACGCTTATGTATTGTTGATGCAGCCATTTAAATCACTGTTTTTTGTGATGTTAGTGTTACGCGATTAATCAGAACATTTAGCTGTGCGTTTCTTTATTTACCCATAGACTCCAGTAGCCATTTAATAATCCATAAAAATGTAATTATCGTTTCCTTTGATTGATATTTGATTGTTTACCAAGAACAAGAAGGCCACTGGCAATTGCTATTTAAGAAAGATTATTTTTTTTTATAGAAATAACTCCAGTTTTAGCTCAATAGTTGTATTTTATACTATATTCAAGGATTGTTTGTACGTTTTGAACGGAAAAAAAAACTATTTCATTGGCATTATATATCAGTATCACCCAATGTGAATAAACATATGATCTAGGCGTACGTAACGTCGCTTCTGAGAAAAGTTTCTAGAAAGTTGCATTGAGGTCTGCGGTGCTTGTATATTGATGAGAGTGGTTGGTACAGCTTGAGTAATATGAGCAAATAAACTCGCTTAAAACTTGTTTCAATCTCCCACTACGTATTAGAAATGATCCACATGAAGTGATGTTTTCTATCATTTGTATTTAACGGCATTGTGCTTTTGACAGGAATTTTAATGTCATCAGCCTCTACCATTCAACAGAACGTCAGTTTATTTCCATAGGTTTAAATAAATCGTGAACTTAACAAGAGTCAACCGACCGATGAATGTTCATGTGCGTTTGTTTATACAATAAGCCGCAAATAGTTTCCAACGCAGAAGTTGTACTTACTTTCGCGGCCGGCGAGTCCGCATGTGTACTTCCTCAGTTTGTGGAATAGGTAATTCGTGATGCCCGCACAGCACATCGCGTCGGTCCGCCTCTCGTGCAGCTGTTTGTGTGAACGTCAACTGTTCTTGTGCGCGGGCGTCATTTTTTTAGGTTCAAGCTGCGCAGGCGGCGGCGAGAGATTAAGAGGCGCGCGCGGCCGACCAACTCGCATAGCACAGCACGGCCGACTGGGATTATTCGATAGCCAGATACGCCACGACCACGAAAATAATGCAACGAGCTTATACAAAAAAGCGAGCTCTCGACGAACGGCCAGCCCGCTCCGCACTCCACCATGCACTGGTGTTTTTTCCCCCGGCCGCCTTCAATTAATGTCAATGACTGACGAAACTAAAGCAGATCGATTGTACGTATGCCGATCAATAATAATAGACCGGGTTGTTTGGCCGCGGAAAGTACAATGGTGTTTTCGAGAGTCGGTATTGTTGATATATATCTGGGTATGACACGCATGAATTTCTTTCAAAATGAAAATCTTGCGTAGACACTTTTTATTTCTTCAAATGTAAACCGTACCATATAAATATAACTGAGATATATTTGGTAAGAATATTAATAATAACATATTTTTATTCGCAGATTTGAATTTTTTAACCTTCACTTAATAGGACTTTTGAAGGGCATTTTTGAATAAATAGTTTCATTAATACGACTGGCTTTATTATAATGTTTAATAACAATATATTATGAATAGAACCGGTCTGGGCAAGACCGTGATTTTTGGACGTGTTTTTTTTTGTTTAGTTTGTAATCGTAGTTGTTGACGAAAACTCTCTGATAAAAGATATCCCAAATAACTTATTGTCGAAACGGAAATACGGCCCTCGGTCAGCCTTTAACCCAGCAACCGTAACAAATTTAATCAAAGATGAAAAGCCGTGGAAAGGATACACAGATACATATGCTAATATGATACAGAGATACAGATACATAGCTACGCAACATTAAGTAAGAGTTACTCTTTCTATGGTCCTTTCTAACAAAATATTCAATATCACATTGAAACATTTTTTTAACAAAATTAAAAATAGGTGATTCAATGACGTTTTCCTAAGGTAATTTAGGTATAAAGATTTGGTTGGTTCAAAATAAGTTACAATTTATCTTTTTCGATTTTATAAGGTGAAAAGCTAATAAAGATTAAATACTGTCTATTTAGTAAAATTACAGCCTACACATATCCCAATGCTGGGCAAAGGCCTTCTCAGTAGCTCGGAGATGGATAAGAAAACTGCGTACTCGTGGGTAAGAAGAGGATGAACAATACAGGGTACATGCAACAGAGTATAAATTCTTTTACTAAATTAAATTACATTTTTTTGTCAAAACGGCTAAATCTAGTCTAATTTGTTTCACGTAAGATGGTAAAATGTTAGCTTACGAATATATCACATTTCATTATTTCAAACACACTGAAATGGATATAATTACACTTTTTTTAGTTCCATTTTTTATGTGAATAGTTGTCAAGCGAGCAGACGGTTCACCTGATGTTAAGTGAATACTGCCGCCCATAGACATCTGCTACACCCTAGGGTTGCAGATGCGTTGAAAACCTTTTGAAAATTGGGCTCCAGCCACTTCACTCACCAGACAGAACGCGAAAGTTTTATACTTCCACTTTACGCTGGTCTTCTGTGAGGTCGTGGTACTTACCCGGACGAGCCTGCCCATTCGTGCAACAGCCGAGGCTGCTGCGTGGCCCTACCACGGTGAAACACCATATTCAATTGCCAAAGTTTCCTCAGTAAGCTACTGATATAATATAAAAAAAGTGATATATATCAACAATATTAAAGGAGATGGATGTACGTTTTCATTCCAGTGACATATTTTGCACAATCTTACTCTGTATAGAGGATTTTATAGCATAGTTCACCACACGACCCCACTGCGGATTGGCGGACTTCACATACTTCGATATTTTGTTATTATTTCGAAAATATGCCTCACGATGTATGTGTACCTTTCCCCCTGAGCCCGTGATAAGTTAGCACCTAAAATGAACAATTTTATTGGTGCCGGCACCAGGGATCGAACTCAGCTTGCAACCGCCCGGACACTTAGCTATCACGGCTCTCAGAAGGTCTGAAATAAAAGTATGTTTTGTTTCCAAACAATTCGTTTATTACCGCAATTCCAACTCATCAAGCAATAAAAACATACTGAGGTTGTCGTTATATTTGACAATAGCATAGTTGGCAGTCGTCATACTAATGGAATGGAACGAATCTCAACATTTAGCCGCTATACAACAAAACCGCGATCCTATTTCACATTGTTGAGTGTGAAAATAATTCAATTGCGGTGAGCAAATTTCAGGCGGACGTCGCGTTTCAGTTGACAGCGCGCGGCCTTATGCGAACGAGAACAATTTGTTAATGCAATGCAAGTTATTATCGACTTAACTTTCATGCATTACGAAGTAGTACAATTATTTGTCGTGTTGAGTACAGCTTAGAATAATGTATCTGCAGATTAAAGGTGGTTCAAGAAAGGTTTATCATTAAGGTAATTAACCGTTTATATAATTATAAGAAAGTTTCACTTGACTATATGCCGTAATTTACAAATGAGCTGTTGTTAATTGTGTGTCAATAAAAATTTCTATGACATTTATTTTGATGTTGAAACTAGTAACCGAAACAATTTGATTCATCAAATGTGTAGATAATTGAGCGCAATTTTGACTCGATGCCAGTATCGAGCCTGCGCCTTCTGCGTAAGGTTCTCTAACTCCGACGCTATAACTACTAATCTAACCGGTCGATATTTTTACCGTACGAAATTTTTTAACAATTCATCTTCATATTTTAAGTTTCATCTTAAGTGCGGATACCATCGTTTAACGAACGTGAAACGTTCATAGTGAACGGAGTATCGGTGAAACGTCCTCAGGTCGTGTGAGAGGAAAAGATAGATTTCTACCGAATTTCTAATTGATTGGTATTGCAGGCGGCGACATGTCATATTCATTTAGTACATTTTTCATGGAAAAATGGCATTTATAAAGATCGCCATCTAATTGGTTTCAAACGATGCAGTCCAACCAATGAATATAGTACCATTGCCCCTCTGAAACAACAAATTCATTTGTATCTTCAAGAGCAATGAAAGTTTGGTCTCCTCTGACCTGTCGATCACTTTTTGGTATCTTTTTTATATAAGTTTATTACCAAAATATTTGTTAGTATTGCTTAACTGACTGATTCCGAATAACGCGTCTGAACACGCTCTAATCATAAACACATTTTGCGGTAGGTGATATGTTTTGATGTTTAAAAAAATATCTGCGTTATCTGCTGTTTATTTATTTATTTATTTATTTATTTAAAATTTATTGTTTACACCTCAACTTAAGGCTAAACAAAAGGCAAACTTAATGCTAATAAGCATTCTCTTCCAGTCAACCCTGGGAGTAGAGAAAGTTTGACGCAGGTGCAAAACAAAATACGCGAAATAAATTAAAGAAAAATAAATAAAAAAAAAGCAAAGGTACATTCTATAGACATATACTTTACTCAAAGATATAATCATTGAATACATATAAATTTCAATACATAAACATTATATAAAATAAGTATAAATATATATAGGTATTAGGCTGTTCTGCTATATCATTTCCTAGTACCTTCTCAATTAGTGTGAGTTGCGGGTCAACCTCGCATATTTTTCTCTCGCTTGTTAGGCGAAATAGCTCATCAGCAATTGCGATGCTGTCTAGTACATGGACATTACGCAGTTACGTCATCTGCTTCTGTTACTTGTTTTAAAACATTGCGTGAAGTGTTAAGTTTTTGTTTCAACCATTTCACTAAATATGATGATTATGTAATCTGCTGGTACTCTTTACAACTTAGAATTTTAATTTACAATTTTAGAAAAAATAATAATAGATAAAGAGAAAATTTGCAAAAAACAAAAAGGTAATGGTTGTATACCTGTACTTATAATGTGAAAATTTTATGAAATTTTTAACAACGGTCTTAGCAAGTCTCATTTACTTCTATTTAATTAGTCGGGTCGTAAGTTTTGTCACATGTTTATTATATATACAGCGTGTCGTTACAACCGCGACAATAAATGAACACACGTCTATGGCTACTTGCCAATAATCATAAAAAAACATAAAACGTAAAAAAATAATAAAAAAAAATATATTTTTAAAACAAACTAGTTAAATAAAAAAGAAACAAAATTTGTAACATCCTATACAACTACAACTGACTGATTCATACATTCAGAGACTTTTTCATTCGTTGCCACAACGTCGCATTACAAGTCTCTTCTTCTAACAGTACGTTTTATCTCTTTTAAATCCATTCATATGCTTTGTGACTTGTACAAATTAACTTTACGTTATATACGTAAGGTTGTTCTAAAATGTTTGTTTTGTTAAATGTAATAAGTCGGTAAATATTGATTTTTAAAGAATGTAAATGCTTAATACATTTTAAAAAGTGATGCTCTATATGTGTGTTCATTTATTGTCGCGGTTGTAACGACACGCTGCATATATAGAAATAATTGACATATGTTTGTTTTTACAGTAGCCTTTTTATTTACCAAAATCATCGAATGGTCTCAAAGCTCATTGAAAATGACCCCCGTGATTTTGAATACAAGCCAGTGGTCTACAGCAGCACGAACGTGGTTCATATCAATATTGCCGGTTTAAAGACCCTGGGGCTTTAGCCTGGCGTGGCTCCATATCCTATAACGTGTAATGGGCATATACATATAGGTTACATTCAAATTTGCTGTGTACCTTACACCAACTTACGTTGTTAATGAGTTGTGAATAATTGAAGTCGCGCGACTATCGTCAACCACAGACATCATAGCACCACACATTCCGTGAACGCAGAAACACAGAGCTGTAAGACATTTATGTAAGACCGTGTCAACAAGTAACAGATTAACTATGCCAGTTGTACGAATGGGCAGATTCGTTCGGATAATTCCACGACCACACAGACCGACGTGAAACTAAAAATCCAATGTTTATTAAAAATG